AAAATATGTATTGTAATTGAAATCTATTGACACAAATAGATAAAGTGCTATAAAAGAAACACTTAACAGTGTCTTTTGGATGTTTTCTTTCCACTAGTCTGAAAAAACACCAAACAAGCCAAAAAGCCCAAAATCTCAAAATTGACAGGTGCATGAAAAAACAGTGCTTTTGCCTGCAGTGTCTCCACTTAACCAGCCAAAATTAAATTTAAATGTGCTGTCCAAATGTAAAACAAGTTATACATACAGTGTAATTTGGTAGTGAGGTTGTGGCATCTTGCTCAAGGGCTCGGCATCAGCTTAAAACAGTGGGAGGAATGGATGAGAAGTCGGCCAAAAACCTGATGCTTTTAGCAGAACGATGATCCCAAAGCCACATTACATTTTTAATTAACTTACTGGAGTGGCTCAAAAACAAAAATGTGAAGAACCTACAGTGGCCTTGTTAAAGACTAGTATAATTCAAATGAGATTATTGCACTGTTTAAAAATGATGGTGCACAAATCTGATTAACCTAAACAAACCGGAGCAAAAATGCATGGAACAATGGGCCAAAATCACACCTAAAAAAATATACAAAAATAGACAGCGCTTTTTGCGCTTTGTCAACATGCAATAACACTCACAACAACATTGTGAGTGATGTCTGTATTCATGAAATCAAAGACCATCCCACTGAAACTGAACACCAGTTGTCACAGGAGACACATTTGAGACGCTTGTCCAGATATAAACAGCAAAATAATAATTATTTGCGATCCGATCACCTGAGATGGATCTTTATACAAGGTTTAAATAGAGCCAACGGCGAGACTCTGCAGGTGAATAGGGTAAAAAAATTAACTACTAATTATCACCTTACTTACCCAGTTGATTGATTACATTGATAATTGCAAAAAAAAATTTGTATTACAAGTTTTCTAAAATGTTATAACTTATAACCTAAAAGATGTTGTCATTGCTGCAAATGGATGGCATTATAAATAGTAAGATGTGGGGATTTAATACTTGTGCAAATATCATACTATAATCTTTTACATTAAATTAAGAATATTTTTAATGATAAACCTATATAATGACATTTTAAATAAATGTTGTAAAGTATTTGTACTTTTTTTCTGATTATGAGTTATTTTCCACATTTAAGAAGAAAGTGCACCTCTCTGCATCTTTCCTGTCATTGATTATCTACAGATGCATTCCTCTTCTGGTTGCTAGGATTTTTGTGTGCCTTTTTTTCCAGTGACTGGATTGTGTTTGCTGAGTGTGTATTTGCGATTTATCTGCCTAGTATTGCTGACAGTTATTAGATATACCTATTTTTTCTGTCTCTCTCTTCTTTGAAACTTAAAGCCTTTTTTATTTTCTTTAGTCTTTGTTTTTTATATATATATATTATAATTTATTCAACCAGGGCACATTAAATTGGTTAATGCTACAAAAGTTAAATGTTTTCACCAGATGAATTTGGAAATTGCAACTAAATATTTTGAAATATTTAAGTTTCTTAAGCACCAAATCGGCATATTAGAATGATTTCAGAAGCATTATGTGACACTAAAGACTGGAGTAATGATGCTTCAAATTCAGCTTTACCACATAAATAAATTACATTTTAAAATATATTCAAATAAAAACAGTTATTTAAAATTGTAATAATATTTCAAAGTATTACTGTTTTTACTGTATTTTGATCAAATGAATGAATATGGGCCATTCTACAGAATTGGTCCAAAGTCAGAGTTGGAAATGTCTTGAAAAAAATGTGTCTTTTTCCAAAAAAAATTTTATGTATGCAAATTGTATAATATCCAAGGTACACATTTCTAGTAATTGCACAGGTAATTCTCATATTGTATTTTCAGAAAGTTTTGAAATATTTGTCCTCTCCCCAAATTTGTCACTACCGAAACACAGTAATAATAATTCAATTAGAACGGTTATATTGACCTATTAAGATTTAGCTTACATCTACATTTTAAAGGGGTCATATGATGCTGCTAAAAAGAACATTATTTTGTGTATTTGGTGTAATGAAATGTGTTTATGCGGTTTAAAGTAAAAAAAACACATTATTTTCCACATACTGTACATTATTGTTTCTCCTCTATGCCCCGCCCAGATCTTCTTTATGCACCAAGAGCTTGTAACACTCCAAAGAGAAAGGAAAAAATGAAATTGCATCATATGACCCCTTTAAATATATTTTTTTGCTATTTAATTTTTTTTTCAGAGGTAAATCAATAACAATTAAATTTTTTACAATATTTCAAGTGTAATTTATGAGATTTGTTGTATTTTGAATCCAATTTTTCTTTGTAAAAGGCAAAACATTGATCATACTGATTTCAAAGTTAAGGAATCATTAGTTTGAATATACATTGAACCAAAAACTATCATAACATCTTAGTTGATAATTCAGTATACTTTATTTTTGACAAAACATCCCATGTTTCGGTAGTGACTGCCCATTTTCGGTAGTGACAGTAATGCTTTGGTAGCAACCACATCACATTACAGAATTTTAACTTCTGAGTCTGTTCTGAGTTTAGTAGCAGGGGCAAACTCATTGTGTTCTTTGCATTTGTGGTGACAAACATTCAGTCTTGAAGTGCGATCAGATGATATGAGTGCATCTGGGCAGATATTGAGCCTCTCTCTGACCTGTACAGCCGTAGAATATGGCGATCGTCTCTGCCAAGGAATGTGTGAGCCTGATGAATGCTTTGTAAAAATACTGTATAGGGCTGTAACACTGATTGGCTGTTCTGAGTTTATGCTTGTTTGCGTTGATTTAAGGTATCTTGTGATGCTTTTTAGTTCTCACTAGCTTTATTCTCTCTGTCTCTCAGCTGGAGTATACCGCTCGTCTGGACTTCCTATGGCGTGTACAGGCGAAGGAAGAGATAAATGAGATGCGAGAGCTGCGTGAACACAATGAGAACATGCTCCGGAACATTCTCCCCAGCCATGTCGCACGCCACTTCCTGGAGAAAGACAGAGACAATGAGGTAGAGAGACAGAATGGATCTGGGTGTCACACGCCTTTAGTCTGACAGGAAAAGCATGGCAGCACTTAGACAGCGAGAACACGTGAGGAGAGGATGAATCACTGCCACTTTCACTCTCTCTGCTCTTTGTGCTTTTTTGGCATGACAGGCTAATTTTTGTAAGCGCTTTGCAGCTGCAGAAGTTAAACAAATCAATAATTAATATACATGATAAATCAAGAACAAAAGTAAAAATAAAATATGGGGGGTTAAACACTGTACCAAGACTAAATAATTTTTGTTGTTTTTACAGTAAATCACTGTATTCTCAACAGTTCCCTACTGTGCAATGTGCATACAGTGTTACTGTGAATTTAGTTGTTTTCACAATATTATTACTGTATTCTCAGCAGTTTACTACTGTATACGCTGTATTACAGTATGCCATTGTAGATTTTCAATGCATTCTGGAACAAAATTCCTACTGTAAATTTAAATAAAGTAGTACCAAATGACCGTGAAAACAACCACACACCTCCTCCCGCAGCGGCTCTGTGACAGACTTATCGTGAAGATGAAAGCCCACAAAAGAGTAGGCTATGGTAGGTTCATTTTAATTTTCGACTTTTTAATCACTTTTTGTATATTTTATTCTGATGTTATTGGCAAGATAAAGAGTATCTGAGCGAACGCTCAGTTTCCAAGTCACACTGCGTTAACTGGGCTTTTCCTCCCGCAGTGGCGCTGGCAGACCGATGGGGAGACTCGTCGTGAAGACGAACGTGCTAAGAGTACTTTTTTATACTATAAGTATACACTTTTTCATCATCATGTACATATTATTTTAATGTAACTTGTTCACTTTTCCAGTAAAACTGTGCTAACTAGTATTTTCCTCCCGCAGTGGCGCAAGCAAGTGCGGCTGGACCATCAGAGACAGCCGGGAAGAGTCGTCACCATAAAGAAGAACGTTTTAAATGTTTTGAGACGATATGAATTCTCTGATTATTGTTGTATAATGTCACAAATTAAGTACTTTAACACTTAAAACTTTAATTTTTATATTTCCACCATTTATTTTTCACTTGCACAATATGTTACTGTGATTTTAGGTTATAATTGTATTTTGTTCATTGATGAAATATGGTTAATATGCTGGTAATTCTGCGTATTTTATTGACATTCAGCTCTGAACTGTAAAAGATGAAGCCTGAATAAAGCTGTTGGTGTGAAGCAATAACTTGTGTTATTGAATATATAAAAAATAAAAATAACATTATAATGCTGTACTTTGTTTTTACAGTACTGTTAAATCTACTGTACTTAGTTTTACTGTTGTACAAAATACAGCAACTACTGGATAATTGTTGCCAGTAAGTTACTGTTAATTTGACAATAAACTTTTTACAATGAAATGTACAGGTAAAGTCTGTAACTCTGTTCCAAAATCTAGTGAGCTCCCTAAATAGACAGCATCCTTACCATCACAAGGTGGTAACAACTCCGTATACTACACCAATAGACTCCCTTCTGATTTCAGTTGAATGTGATTTTAGCATGATGGTAGGCTAATGCCACATTATTTTAAAATTCATAAAAACACAGAGAGCACACATAGATAAATTTTAATACTTTTATTCAGCAAGGATGTATTAAATTGATCAAAAGTGACAGTAAAATCGTATAATCTTACAAGATTTCATCAAAATCTAATCTAATATTAAGATATTAAGCAGCACAACTTTAACATTGATAATGTCACTTGAGACCCAAATCAGCATGTTAGAATGATTTCTGAAGGATGTGACACTGAAAACTGGAGTAATGATGCTGAAAATTCAGTTTTGCCATAAACATTAAAATTATAATAATATTTCACAATATTTTTTTTTGTATGTTTATTAAATAATATTTTAGAAAATCTTCCTTTATATTCCCTGATTGAACATAAAAAATACAATTCTGGTCAATTTTGTTGTTCTTGCAACATTGTTTGTTTGTCTTCTGGTAGCCATGTTTTTCTTTAACTAGTCTTTCTTTCTTTCTTTCTTTCTCTCTCTCTCTCTCTCGCTCTCTTTCTTTCTTTCTTTCCCTCCTTCCTTCATTTCTTTCTGTCTTTCTTTCTTCCATCCTTCCTTTCTTAATTTTGTAAAGGCAGCCTGTGTGTGTTTGTGCTCTCTTGTCCTGACATGACTCCTGTTTATTTCTGGAATGTTCCGCTGTCAGTCAATCAGACAATAGGGAGGCTAAATAATGGAGCTGTATAACTCACAGATAAAAATGCATCCATTAAGCCTATGTGTGTGAGTGTGTGTGTGTGTGTGTGTGTGTGAGAGAGAGAGTGTATTGAGTTACTTTAATTATCCCATTCATTTATAATCAGATGGAGTATTGAGGCATGATTTAACTGCTGACACTAAATGTGTGTGTGTGTGTGTGTGTGTGTCTGCACTTGAGTGTGTGGACTATAATTTACGTCACTCTCTGCTATTATTAAGATGAGAAAATGATCCCTCTCCCTCATACACACACACATACACCGTCTTGCTCGCAAAACCTGCCACTCTTAAAGGGCACTGCAGTAATTTAGTTCAGTGACTAACACTTATTAAGTGTATAATTACCTGGTTTTATACACTTGTCTATAGCAGTCACTGACTTTTTATACGTATGATCGCTCCGCAGTACTTGCGTGCAGTGATGACATCAAGCGTCAGTGGGGCGTATCAGTGCACTGTTGAATGTTTCAGGGTGTATTGAGAGAGTTTAACCTCCTCTAATATCGGCCATGCTGTTGACCAGAGCTCCCTCTTTAAACAATAAATGAACTTTTCCACGACATTCTAATTTATTGAGATGCACCTGTAGTTAGAGCAGTGGCCTTGTGGTTTGCACACATTACACCTCAAATATTGCACATAATTAGTCACACACTCAATCTGAATTGCACACTTAATTTGAAAGGTGTGGTAGATGTGAATGTTGTGGTATGTTATGTAGCGCTTGTGAGGTCTGTGCATAACCGTGTATATGGGAAGTGTCTATAAGCTATGCCTTTTTTTTTTTGCCACTGCCACACTTATTTGCTGCATTAATTCTATATAAAAGTATTATTATATTATATTATTAGAATCGTATTAATAAAATATGACATGTTAATATATAATAATTTATTAACATCTGTTGCATAATATAATTCATAACATTTTTTATTTTTATGATTTTTAATTAAAGTTTTAGTTAAAATGTTAGTAATTTGGTTGTGTGTTTTTGTCATTTTTATTAGCTTTTGTAAATATATCTATAGTTTTTCATTTTTATTTCAAGTTTCGTTTTAGTTATTGTAGTTAATCAAGTTAAACTAAATGAAAATGAGAAATTGGCAGAAATAA